CAAATAATATTACTATTAATTTTAATTATATATATATATATATATATATATATATAAAATTCTTTTATCTCTTAATCTTTAAATTCTGCAGATATATTCAGTTTTTATATATATAATAAACTTATTGTATAAATTATAAATTTTTAATTTGATAAGCAACCAACCTTTAATTTAATTATTGTTTCTTTAGTAGTACTATTCACTGTCCATAGTACGTAACAATGATTACGTTTCTCTAGATCATGCAGGACACATTCTTCCCTTCCTGAACATTCCTGTTCGTTCTCCGCACACATTGTGTCATTATAAAATTCGCAAAAGGCAGAGCCTTTAATATCTTTTGCAGATATAGTCCCTAAAATAATTAATTAAAATGCTATAATCTTAACATCAACACTTAAATTATCGAATATCTTATATTTTGCCAAAAAATATTATTTAATTTCAGCTATTTCTTATGTAATCAAATGTTTAAAAAAATGTTTTAAATAATTAGAAAAACATAATATATTGTATCTTACTATATATACATAATAGTGATATACTATATATACATAATAATTATATACTATATATTATAGTGATTAAGATAGTATAATAATCCCCCCTCTATTAATATATAACATATTATAGCTTTTTCTCTATTCAAAAGTAGATACAAATAAAGTTTTGTCTTCATATATAGATATACATAAAATATTCTTCAGCTTAACACTTATAAGATATAGGTATAAAAAATTGCTATAGTTCCTGCTACAATTAGTCTTATACCAAACTTGCACAAAGTTTAGTATATACAATTCTTGGTATACTTTTTAGTTAAGTGTAGTCAGAAAAAATCTCAAACTACTGCTGCAATTTGCAAATTGTATTTCATTATTCATCTATCTATGAAGTAAAAACAACATAACTGAATGTAGTTACATATTAGTTTAGGTAAGTTTCAAATTCACAGAGAAAATTGAAGAACAAAAGTAAAGTGTACATACAATAAATGGCAATGTAATCACTTACAAACACTTGTAAATCTAAATATCTCTTGAAAGCATAAAACTACTGTTATCTCAATTTTATCAGAATTTAGACTAATCGGAAACTAACACATTCAAATATGATCCGTGATAGTATATAAAATTAACTTTGATCAAACTCCAATTAACTCAATCAGCATACAAATTTCAAGCGATACCCATGCTATTTTTTTAATGCAAATAAAATAATTGATTTTTGTAGTTTAATAATTATAAAAAGCTTAGAATAGAGACAACAAATTATACAATTAGAAATTTTGCAAGAAGCAATGCCACCGGTTGAAATAAACTCTGATTAAGTTAATCATAGTTTGAACGGAATCATCTTTAAAAAATTTCCTTCCTCTCCCCTATCTCGCTTTCTCTCTGACAGTTCTGTTATTCCTTGAATCCTTCGAGGGTGAGAGCTTAAATTAAAAAAGAAAGCAGAAATTTTAAACAATATATTGCTATATATAAGTGTTACCTAAAAATCCTAGGAAGAAGAGAGGCAGTATCGTCGCATATACGGACATGGTGAGCGAATCGTAAAAGCATACCAGTAATTTTGAGTCTATTAGCTATTAAGCAAATTGTAGTAA